TATTTTTTTTTATTATTTTATTTTATTTTTTATTTATTATTTTATTTATTATTTTTTTTATTTATTAGAGTAATTGAAGTTTATCTATAATTCAATAAATTTAATAAATAAGCCTTAATCTTATCTTTGTTTTGATCTTTAAAATCTTTTAAACTATAATTATAAGTACAATTTTTTTAAATTTCATTTTTCCAAATGGATTTATTTCTCTCTATTAAGTTTTTTTTTTACGCGTAATTTGTTGCTTTTCTTCCCCATTTTTTTTAAAGAACACGATCGATTTGTATTAAAATTCGCAAGACGAAAAGCGATATAAAAGCGCCAAGATTAACGGGGGAGGGGGAAGAGAAACACGCGTGTCACTTATTCCACTTCTAACTTTTCAATTATCGAGCTCGTTACCTCACTTAGCCGGTGACACAGAAATTCCTCGCTTCTCTTTTTCCAATGTAATACTACTCGCTTATTTTCACGAAAATAACCGTGTCTTTTTCATCCTGGGTAGTTGAATCGTCGTTAGTATATTTTAATCGGGCTACTGTTACTGTTACTAATTAGCCTTGACTGCCTCTAGCTCGTTAGAGGATCTTTTCTCCATTCGAGTCACGGATTCGTAAGCAATGTAAGGAGACATTTAGAAATATGCATACATACATATATACATATAGAAAAAACTGTAAATTGTGACAGTCGCCTCAGTTTTTCTTTTCCACGCTCGTTGTCTCTTGATAATAAGCGCGCGTTCTAGAAGAAAAAAAGAAAGAGAGAGGGATGGACGCTCAGTTTTTCTTAATAAGTCTCGTAGGAACGTCGTTAAGCATTGTAATTCATTTCGAGTCGTAAATCTCGAAACGTTTACTAGCCAGGTCTTATTCGCCCGTTTCTCGAGGCCACTGTTCTTTAAACTAGCGTCCATTAAAGGCACCTTTAAATTGCTCTCCCTTATCTCTTCTTCCTCCATGAAAAAAAAAGACACAACACCTGGGGGAGAATTTCCCTTTTCCATCTTTTGATTCTATCCTTTTTAACCTTCTAGCCATCCACTTTATTATTAAGGTTTATTAAAATATAATTTTTCAATTCGATCTCTTCACGTGGTGGAAGTTTGATGTTAAATTGGTTATATGTTGACGTGAACGATGCTTCGAGGCGGCCATTTTTCTTATTTTAATTGCCGCCATTTAGATAAGATTAACTCGTTAGGCGTGCCACGGTTCGTTTTCGCGTTCTCCGTATTCTCTTAATATTTCTCGAGTTTGTGGAATATTTGAGTAATTTGCGATACAAGGCGAGGAAAATTTAATTTCTCGAAGATAAAGTGAGTTTGTGGTAACAGTTAGTGGTTTTAAGTTATACTTTATAGATTCTATAATATTTTTTTGCATGTTGCTCTATAGTTTGTAATAAAAAAAAGTAAGGAATGTATTGAAATTATTGTAAAGTTTCGAAGAACAATATTATTTAATTATCAATTTCTGAGGAATTAATTCAGATATGGTTCGACTAGAGTTCAGAATTCCTTTCAAAATTCGTTTGGAAATAAGGAATCATCGAAATTTCTTTTGAATTTCTTTCGCAAAATTTTAATTTCTATCCGATTTTATTAAATGATTATTAAATTTATCATTTATTTTGCACTCATCACGTGTACGAAACAAGAAAATTGATAGGGAAGCGGCGTGGAATAAATTTTTTTGCGGGTATAACCGTGGCCAGCGACATATGACCGGCGATGAAATAAAAAAAAAGAAAAAAAATTATGAATAATAAATATTTCGACTCGTTTCGTGCAATGCGGCTAGTGGAAATTAGCAATATTTTCGTCAAGCGGATCGCAGTAAATAATCCTCGTGACGTTTGCCAAGTTTTTTGACGTAATTTTTAGAGATATATAATTTTTAGAGTTGTCCTCTTTCGACGAAAAATTCCACGAGTAAATAATTAAATTAATATCGTTCACGATATTAAAGGAATAATTTAATCGTTGTATTTTTATATATAATTTCAATTCTTTAATCTTGAAGAAGTTTAACTTATTAATTCCAAGAATTAATCTTGAAAACTTTTCCAAATGGAAATCAAAAGTCTTTTCGAAAAATTAATATTTTCTGTATTCGCAATAATTCTAATTAATAATTATTGATAGCTGTGTCGAGTCTTTTAACTCCTATTAATATTCAGACGTTACGAAATAAAAACGTCTCGAATCTTCGAATAAATTATACGTATTTGGAAAATACAATTTCAAAAACAAAAATTCTTCTTTCGTCCATCTGAGAGACTGATTAGCAACTTCTCCACGATTAATCCCAATTTCGTCCGATCTCCATACAGATTTCCAATAATTTTAGAATTCTCCCGAATAGATCGACGCTTAATAGTGTGCATTGCAGAACACCAGATATTTCTACCGACGAGAATAATTGTAGGCGTGTTATCCAGTAACAGCGTTGACAGTGATCGATTGAATTTTCCATCGCACCAAAGGTTGCAACCTATTAGAATCTAGCTTCCCTAGATATATCATCAGATGGTTTTCGATAATTCCAGTCTGCCCTCCACCATTTTCAAACAAATTTCCATCAGGAACAATCGAAAGTTATTGGCCTAGAATATTCAGAAATTGAATATTCCTCGATAGAATGATTTCTAATTGCAACTTTGTTTTTCTCGTTCTGTTTGTGATTAACACTGAAAACAAATTACTTATTATTGATAAAATTATAAATTGTAACAATTGGACGTGTGTAACAGTGGTCGGTTAAACGTCACACTTAAGATTATCTCCACGAATTTTTTCGTAACTAATTACGTTTTTTTTATCTATTTTTATGGAAGTGGATATGACAGTGGATGAAAGAAAAAACGAAGAAAAATTGATAATGACGTGTTCACAATTTTTTACGCACCTATGATCAATTTTTGTTTATTTTTTATTTTCTTTTTTTACCAAGTTACCACGAGGCTTTGTACGGTGGATATAGATCGGTGAATCGAATTCGTTTCAGCGCTCCCGATGGCATCGAAAATAAAGGAGTTGCCCAAAGCCTGGGTCTCTCACAAAGAGAGTGTATAAAGTGTTGTGCATCGATTTTGATAAAACTTTATAGGCCAGTAAAAAATATTTGTATCCCTTTTTTTTTTCAATTCGATTCTTTTCATCAATGTTAGTAGACGCCAAATAATACTAAAAGAAGAAAACTTTTCTAACAAAGATAGAAAGATTGACACATTCAAAAATATATTTCTAAATTTATAGAATATCTGAAAAAAAAAAAAA